GCTTTCCTTCTCTTCCTCCTCCTCGCAGCAGGAAAGGGCCTCTCAGCACAACAGGGCCCAGTTCAGAGTAACCCTGCTCCCATTTCCTCCACTCTGTGCATAAGAATGGCCACCCTGGGTTGGACCATGGTCCTTTTAGTGCAGTGCCTGTCTCCCGACAGTGGGTCTGGTGTAGCCAGGTGCTTCGGAGATTCATCCCTTGTCATCCAGTGCCAGCTCCTGGCAGTGGAACCTTTAGGGAAACCCTGTCCAGTCGTAGCCATTGATGGACCTACCTTCCATGAATTTACCCATCACTTTTCTGAACAGTTGCACTTTTGGCTACTATTATGAGCTGCGTGATTATAAATGTGGTGGCACCTGGCAGCCCTAGCCAAGGCCCATTGTCCCTGTTGCTCCACAGATACAGAACAACAGACAACCCCTGAGCTCCAGAGAGGTTACAGTTAGGGATGTGAATGGTTAACCAGTTAACAGGGAGGAATCACGTGCAGGGTGGTCATGTCTGGTACCCTCCTTGTGTTCCTCCCCAGGAGTCACCACAGCTGGCTGGGACATAAAGGATGGGCTGGACCCCGCTGCACTTATGGTGAGGCCAAACCCCGAACTCCATCCAATCCCAGATACCACTCAGCCCCCAAGTAGGACTACTACTTGCCCCACTGAGAAATGACCCTTTTGCAGCCTGAGCCTGATTCCTCCCCAGCCTTTGTCTTGCCTGGGAATCCACCCAATATGCCCCAGCAAAAGCCCCAAATAAAGCACTGAACTCCCGTCCAACAGAAGACGCTGAAGGTGAATCCTGCCTCTGACACGGAGCACCAGGGTGTGAATCCATCCCCATCCCCAGAAAGGTCCATTCTGCAGAGACAAACACAAACCTTCATAGACACAGGGGAAGGTGCTTGGGGGAAGAGGTGGAGTGGGGACAGGGAAGGACCCATACAATTAATGGGGGGCTGCTTCTCAGTTCCATCCCCAGGCCTGTAGCCTGATGGAAAAGCTGAAAGTAGCTGCTGAGCAATGGCTCCTCCATGTGATGCTGGCTTGAAAACTGCTCTGGGGCCACAAGGCGTCTTGTCATCGCGTAGGTAGCAATGTGTGCTGGACGAGGTAATTGAGATGTGTGGCATTTGGACAGGGCAGTGCCGCTATTTCTCCGAAGGCTGCTCTTTGTATGGGATTAAATATCAGTACTGCTTTTGAACAAACTGGCTACGTCTACACTGGCCCCTTTTCCGGAAGGGGCATGTAAATTTCATGAGTCGTCGTAGGGAAATCCGCGGGGGATTTAAATATCTCCCGCGGCATTTAAATAAAAATGTCCGCCGCTTTTTTCCGGCTTTTAAAAAAGCCGGAAAAGAGCGTCTAGACTGGCCCCGATCCTCCGGAAAAAGCGCCCTTTTCCGGAGGCTCTTATTCCTACTTTGAAGTACGAATAAGAGCCTCCGGAAAAGGGCGCTTTTTCCGGAGGATCGGGGCCAGTCTAGACGCTCTTTTCCGGCTTTTTTAAAAGCCGGAAAAAAGCGGCGGACATTTTTATTTAAATGCCGCGGGGGATATTTAAATCCCCCGCGGATTTCCCTACGACGACTCATGAAATTTACATGCCCCTTCCGGAAAAGGGGCCAGTGTAGACGAGCCCACTCAGTTTACCACAGAAACACAGGCTGTGTCTACATTGGCATGATTTTGCGCAAAAGCAGGTGCTTTTGCGCAAAAACATACTGCCTGTCTACACTGGCAGGGAGTTCTTGCGCAAGAGGCCAGTGTAGACAGGCAATATGAATTTCTTGTGCAAGAAAGCCAGATGGCTAAAATGGCCATCAGAGCTTTCTTGCGCAAGAGAGCATCTACACTGGCACGGATGCTTTTGCGCAAAAGCATATCTCTTGTGCAAAAGCACATGCCAGACGCTCTCTTGAGCAAATACTTTAACGCAAAAACTCCTGCGTTAAAAGTATTTGCACAAAATCTTGCCAATGTAGACGTAGCCACAGGGTAAACTGAGTGTGGATGCCTGGTTCTGAAATAGGGAGCAAGGAAGCTATGTGTCATTGTTATCAGGGGAAAAACAGAAGACACTTAGGGGTTTGCCAGCTCCACTTTGCCCTGGACGTTGCCTTGTGACTGATTAGTCATTCCTATGGCAGTAAGGACAAGTCACACTCCATGGGCCAGCCACATCTGTTTTGCTGCATCGTGATGTTTAAACTCTCCATTCCGTCCCAAGCAGCTCTCTTCCTCACTGACACATTGTTTGCACTATTCTTCTGTCATTGCAAGGTAAAGAGACAACAGAGAGCCGTCTTTCAGCTGAACCGATGAGCTTTAAGGCAGTGGGGATTACTACCAACAGTGACAGCTCAGGGCTCCTTGAAAGGCTCCCCTGACAAGTGAGATGAATGACGGCGTCCCATCTGGAATTACAAAATCCAGACAGTAGCAAAGTGGAGGGTAAAGGTGGGCAAACAGAGGCTCAATGCATCCACTGGGGGGGTATGTGTGATTGCTACCAGTACAGTGTGGACACAGCGGTGCAGGCTAGCCACAGAGACAGCGCATCCTCCTTGCCCTGGAAACAGGGGAGCAGGCGGGCTCTGTCAGCCTAGCAGCGCCAGGTGCCCTGAGCACAGCTCAGCGCCTAGCAGTTGGCCCCAGCCCGAACAAGGGGCTGGTTGATGTGCAGACGGAAAGATGGCACACCCTGACGTTGTGTGGGCCAGGCCCAAGGGGCTCTGACCCCTGCCCACCCTGGGGCGTGGGGCTGAGCCAGGCCCTGGGCGGGGTGGGGTTGGGGACTCCCCAGATGCCCCCGCACAGGCCCTGAGGGGGCCCCTCTGAGGGCAGAGGACCCCCAGCCCGAACAAGGGGCTGGTTGATGTGCAGACGGAAAGATGGCACACCCTGACGTTGTGTGGGCCAGGCCCAAGGGGCTCTGACCCCTGCCCACCCTGGGGCGTGGGGCTGAGCCAGGCCCTGGGCGGGGTGGGGTTGGGGACTCCCCAGATGCCCCCGCACAGGCCCTGAGGGGGCCCCTCTGAGGGCAGAGGAC